TCCTACCATGGAGGACGGAATAAGGCTGCACTGCTCAGAAACCTTGTGGCAAGGCTTTTGGAGTACCTCCAGGAGAGCTTCATGGAGATGTCCCTGGAGGATTTCCGCTCCATCCCCAGACACATTAACAGACTTTTCTAGTAGCTGTACTGGCTGCGAATGCATCCCAAGTCCTCAGGGCAAAGTAATCATTAAAAAATGCTTGCTTTTAAAACAAGTTTTATATTTTAAAAGGTAGACTCACCTGAGGTCCCTTCCATTGGGTCATGGCCTTGGATACTGGCTTGGGAGGGTTGGGAGGGTACTTCAGTCAGGCTGAGAAAAAGATCCTGGCTGTTGGGGAGAACGGAGTGCTGTGTGCTCTCCGCAAGCTCATCCTCCTCCTCCTCCTCCTCCTCCTCCTCCTTCCCCGTCCACAGAATCCTCAGGTGTAGCTGATGAGATTATCCCCGCCTCGGAATCCACGGTCAGAGGTGGGGTAGTGGTGGCGGCCCCCCCTAGAACTGCATGCAGCTCGGCGTAGAAGTGGCATGTCCGCGGCTCTGACCCGGAGCGACCGTTTGCCTCCTTTGTTTTTTGATAGGCTTGTCTGAGCTCCTTGACTTTCACGCGGCACTGATCTGAGTCCCTATTGTGGCCTCTCTCCATCATGCCCTTGGAGATTTTTTCAAAAGTTTTGGCATTTCGTCTTTTCGAACGAAGTTCTGCTAGCACTGAATCCTCTCCCCATATAGCGATCAGATCCAGTACCTCCCGTACGGTCCATGCTGGTGCTCTTTTTCGATTATCGGCCTGCATGGTTACCTGTGCTGATGAGCTCTCTGTGGTCACCTGTGCTCTCCTGTGCTGGGCAAACAGGAAATGAAATTCACATGTTCGCGGGGCTTTTCCTGTCTACCTGGCCAGTGCATCCGAGTTCAGATTGCTGTCCAGAGCGGTCACAATGGTGCACTGTGGGATAGCTCCCGGAGGCCAATACCATCGAATTGCGGCCACACTAACCCTAATTCGAAATGACAATATCGATTTTGGCGCTACTCCGCTCGTCGGGGTGGAGTACAGAAATTGATTTTAAGAGCCTTTTATTTTGAAATAAATGGCTTCGTTGTGTGGACGGGTGCAGGCTTAATTCGATTTAACGCTGCCAAATCCGAATTAAAGTCATAGTGTAGATCAGGCCTCTGTGAGTCTACTACTAAGGAACTTCTTTCTGGGTGAAGAGAGCAAAAAGCTACAGGGAAGATATTCGGGGGAGGGGGGTGTCCTTGTGATATGAAGCAAGCAGCCATGGAGAGATTCTTCAGCCACCCTAAGAAAGTAAATACTTGTCATTGGTAAATCTATTTTAAGATAAGTGGGCAGACAATTCAGCAAAGGACACAAGGACAACAGGACTCTGTTCTGTCCTCCTGGAGCAAAAATACAACATGTAACTGGAAGATTGGATGGAATTATGAAGTTTTCCAATAGATTCCACTGCTGATACCTATTGGAACAAGTGACCTGGAACTACACAGATTATAGAAGACTTCAGGAATCTTGAAAGGGAGCTGAAGAAGAGGAAAGTCCAAATGATTTCTTGGTGATTCTTCAGGTCCCACAAGTAAGGGAAAAGAAAAGGCAGTAAATACTGGAGGTGAACTGTTGGCTGTGTGACTGGTGTGAAACTGAAGGTTTTGGTTTGGGGAAAATCAAGACACATTCCAGTAGGACAGATGATACATGTATCTCAGGTTAGGGGTGAATATTCTAATTTGAAGGTTAACCAGAGTAGCCATGAGGATATTAAACAAACCTCAAAATGGGTATGTGCTATGAGATAAATGAAGTACAAACTCAAAATTGGTGTCATGAACAGATTCTACTTGTGTGGAAAGAAAAGATAAGAAATTTTTCAGTTGCCTATATACCAGTACTAGGAGTCTGAGTAACAAGCAAGAAGGATTGAAAATTCTCATTAAAGATGTAATTGGCATTACTGAAACCCGGTGGGATGACTTGCATGATTGGAATTAAAATCATTGGTTATATCATTGATTATATAACCTGCTTAGAGTTGGTAAAAGATGATGTGCTGGAACTGGACCTCTACATTGAGAGACACTCTACATTAAATACACCATTATCAGTAACTCAGAACCACAAGATTTTGAATGCATATGGGTCAATGTGCTAACTAACACAGTCCAGGAAGGGGTACTGATAGGTGTTTGTAACAAACAACCAAATCAAACCAGAGAACAGGATGGGTTACTCCTTAAGTACCTGCCTGGAATGTGTGGAAAGAAAAAATATATTATGGGGGACTTCCATTGCAAAGACACATGCTGGAGATCTAATGCAGCTGGTAGTAAATTTTCTAACACAAAGTATTGCCCCCAGTACAATGAAAATCAATTTTGGACCTCATGACTGATTGAAAATGAATTCATCGGTGGACTAGAAGTTGGTTGTTGCTTATGGACCAGTGATCATGATCTGACTGCATTTGATACAGGCAAACAGAGGAAAAGATCTAATTTGTCAAAGTTAAGGAAAACTGAGCAAAATTGAGTTAGAGAAAAAATTTAGACAAATAGGTAAATGTGCCTTCTCTTCCCACTCCTTCTTTGCATGGATGCTAGTCCTTCAGAGGGCCTTCCTGGCAGACAGTGCCACAAAAGTTTCCACTTGGGAAGCAGATAACATGTGGATGATCCATTTTGCTTAGCGATATTGGGGATAAGCTAATGGACTGCTAATGGTTAAATCCTCTGACGTCATCATATAGGGAAAATTACTAAAACATTAAGTTTGACTTGCCAATACCTCTACAGCTTTTTGTATTTGTAATTGGTAATTTTTTTCAAAAAAAAATTTTGTTCAGTGTTACTCTATTCATTTATGTCCTAGTTTTGGTTTTTATCTTTATTTTACTATTCTAGTGATAGTCTAATACTGTCAACTACTACATGTTTATATTTTTTCCTTTTCTGTTTGACAATTTTTGGTTTTTTTTCCGGACTTTATTTTTTGGTTATTTAGTTGTTGATCTTTTTTCACTAATGATATTTAAAGTTAACACAGCTGGTGTGTGTGTGTGTGTGTGTGTGTGTGTGTTTGTGTGTGTAACTCTCGCTAGTAGTTTTGAGCCTCATCCAATTCTTGAATTCAGTGGGTGATGGTTTGGGACCTTTCTAGAGCCTCTGAGGGATTACTATTTAATTAGTACTTCGGGTTCTGCTGGGGGAGGCTCACACCTTATTTATTTGTGCCCCTGACAGAAAGTTTTTTTTTTTTTTTATCAGAACTCGATTATGTGATGGCAATTATTGTAAAAACAAATGTATCTGTCTTACAAAGATGTAAATCTAAATGTATCATAATTTCAATTATTAATATACTCTAGTGTTGAAAAGTTGATACTCATTACATATATAGCTCTGTTTGATCCCAGAAACCATTACTCAAGAAATTAGTTCAAACTCAAGGGTATTGTCCAACTGAAGTAAAGGTTACTCCCTCTTGCTGACTCTTTGTACCTGCTTAGTCTGTGAACGGCTTGAGGTAGGGACTGTCCCTTTAGAACAGCTGGCAAATCATGAGAACCATGGGGTTGTTACCACAAATAAATAAGACATGAGTGGTGCATAGTTCATTTCCTTGCTAGCTGTTCAGGGGTGTGAACTTCATCTGCTCTGAGCCATGGGTGTAGCAACAAGCGTAACTCTTACCTTCTTGTGTGATGAAAGTAACAACAACCCAATATTACCAGGACAGTATCTTATAAGTACCTCAACTTTGATCTTGCTGTTGAAAAGTAAAATGGTACTTGTGAAAGAGCTAGGCTGGCTGTTCACCGTGTGTGTGTGAGAGGGAGAACTGTAGGATGCAACTTAAAAAAATATTCTCCTCAGAAACCTGGTTGATACTTTTTAAAAAACACCATAACTGGGGAAATAGAAATAATAGTGCTAGTCCACAATGAACTTTATATCTCAATCATAGCTGATGATTCTGATATGGGACCATAAGGTCAAACATAACTGTTTGATTAGTACTGGTACAATCTGGCACATCACAAGATACTGAATTTACTGACAGTTTTACAAGTTCTGAATTGTGTGTGGTATGGTTTTTGCATAATTAAGACAGGAAAGAAACCCAGTTTGCTATGCTTTTTTATTTGAACACATATAAACCCAAAAATCTTTTAGAAAAAAATGTTTTTATTACCTTTGTCAGTGTAATGATATCCAAACCCCGTGTCATATAATAAAAATTATACATGAAAATTGCAAACGATTCACAGTATACAACATTTTAGAAATGATAGTATCTTTTAGCACTTAATCCAAATAGACTAGCAAAACTAATTATAGTCAGACTCTCTAGTTGTTTTGTTATTGTTCTACAGATTCAGTTACAAATGATGACATATAAAATGGTGATAATGACCTTTATAAAGTGCTTTTGAGATGTACCAGTGAAAAGTGCTATGTTAGAGCTAAATGGTGGTGGTATTATATTGATTGATTGTATTATTTCTTAGCATTTTACCCCAATTACATTTAACTTTAAAATGTGGAAATGACTTAAACTCTGCTTTTCTTCATTTTTAAAGTTCACAAAGCTTGAATCCAGAAACACATCTGAATGAAAACTTTCCCAAATTTCCAGGTGGCGTCTGGAACTGGGTTTCCTCATTCAGGCATATCTAGTTATAACCACTGGACACCACGATGGAGTAATACACTTTTAAATTACACTGTAGGAAAAGATTGAATTTTCATATAATTAGTCATATCTTCTGAGATTTAACTATGAAAGGTAAACACAAAGCTAAAATTCTACTAGTAGTTACAGCCAAGCAACCACATTGACTTTAGTAGGATTAAACCAGTGTTGTAGAGGTAGAATTAGCCAAATGAAAGCAGGCCTGGTATTTAAATTATCATGCTCTATTTCTATGTCTAGAACAAATAAATATCTAATATATATACATATATTTTTATTTCTAGTGGTGTTGCTTGATACTACAGCTGCAATTGGAGAACTAGGATGGAAAACCTATCCTTTAAATGGGGTAAGTCAAGTTCTCATTTTGCTTTTGTTGTCCTTTTTATTCAGCATTCTGGCATTTCAACAATAGAATGGACTAGTTCTGCTAAATGGATACTTTCCTGCAGTATGTACTAATGGAAAAGATTTTGGGATAGTGAAATAAAGAATCTGAATTGTAGTTAACACTAAGAGCCCCAAGAATAGCAAGTAAATATGTGCACATATTACAGTACCATCAGCTGCTACTTCTATAGGGAATGGTCTGTCAGGATTTCTCATAAGTCTGTATTTGGAGGTTTGTAATTAAGTTATGAATATCTTTTCTGTTTTTAAATCAGGAACAAGCTTTCTTTAAATTTCATAGAAAAAAATAATTTATCCATTTATTACAGTAGTTTGAAACAATTTATGTGATGAAAGTGCCATTTTTGACTCCACTGTCTGGCATGATTCCAGCTGTTAATTCTGAAAGCCTATTAAAATATTGTAAAAGAGTGAAAACAAAGCTATCAAAGTTTAGAAAATTTATATATTTATGTGAAGTGGCTTTTTCCTATATGACATTTTTAATCAAAAGTTCAGTATCCTAGATAATGTTTTACACAATTGCACGGTATTGTTAATATAGATTGACATGACAAGAGACACAGGGTACTTTGTAGGCCTCTGAGCTTTGCAGATGGCTGGCATGCTTGGAGATGATGTGGCCAGATTGGGAGGGGGAAGAAGGGTGTGCTTTTTTTAGTGTAACCACTTAAGAAATATTTGAGGCTGAACTTCAAATGGTGTATTGCTCTTTCCACCTATCCAATGCTCTTAACAGCACATCTATCCTTTTTAGTTTCACTTTTAATTAAGATACAGTATACTGAAGCAATTAAGTCCTTTTTTTATGTTGGGTCCTTATCCTAAGGACGCCCTAAGTTTAGCTATCTCTTGCCTTGTGTGTCATTCCTTTTCATATTAGGTGGTATTATCTTTTAATTGCTGTATATGATGCATGTGCTGTGTTGACTTCTGAAACAAACTGAGATATAGAGCACCGATTGTATTTTGTATTCATTCTTTGTGGGGTTTTCTTTCTTGCAACACATTCTAGAAGGAAATAAAGTTGTCCATCCTCAGCACCTTAATAATCTGTTCTTTAAAAGTGCTGCTAGTGTCTGCCCTCAGGGACTCCAAGCAATGTGACATTTCTTATTCTCAGCCTGTTTTCAAAATAATGGATTACATTTTTCAGGCTTTTCCAGTCCTTTGTATTCTTAGACAAGATTCTTAGTCTGTTAATATGTATCTCGGTATTTTACACTTTGTTTGCAGTCTCATCTAGCCTGAATCCTAAATTCTGAAGGTTTTCTTTGGAAATTATGGACAAAATAAACCGGCTCAGATCCTGATAAGAAAGCTACAATATGAGCCAAATACCTTTTTAACTTAGTCAAATGATGAGTCCCATTAAAGTCAACAGGATTACTTGTGTGCATAAGACAAGCAAGATCTGATACCATTTCCTTTAAATAGCAATGGGTTTTTCATATGCATTCTTGAAAGCTTCAATTGTTCCACCAACAATAGATCTAAAATGCAAGCAGGAAGAAACAACAAAGATGACTTACACAATAACCATCAGAAAATGTCTGTTTTGGCTGATCATGTAAGTTCCCTTCCCACTCTCAATTTTGTAGCTCATTTTTAAATCACAGATACGTTGAAGTTTTGCCAGAGGAATTTCTTCTACTTTGTCAGTCTTAGGAATTGGCAGTATTTCTCTGATACAAAGAGCTTACATATGAATTAATTGTAAATATATGGGGTTCACATTATTTTTAAGATATGCTATGATCTTTCTTGGGAATCTGACAAAAAAAGGTCACTGAGAAAATTATGATAGGTTCTCTTTTCCAAAAGTATTTATGTGGAGGTAGCTTGAAGAAATGGAAAACATTGGCTAGGTGAAAACTGAATTGCTGTGTAGTGTTAATTTGAGCAGTTAAGGTGCTAGAAGTGGTGATAGATATTCACTGATACTAAGGCCATTTCTACACTTACTGGAGATCAACACTTCTGTGATTGATGCAGCGGGGGTCAATTTAGTGGGTCTGATGCAGACCCGCTAAATCGACCTCAAAGCACTCTCCAGTCGACTCTGGTATGATGGGAGAGTGTCTCCCATCGGTGTAGCATGATGTATTCATGTAGCTGGAGCAGCATAACTTAGGTCAACTTACTGAGGGTATGTCTACACTACAGGATTAATCCGAATTTAGATAATTCGAATTTGGGAAACAGGTTGTATAAATTCGATTGTGCGCGGCCACACTAAGCACATTAATTCGGTTTTTAACCACATTAATTCGGTGGTGTGCGGCCACACTACCCCATTTATTTTAATCACATTAATTCGGTGGTGTGCGGCCACACTAACCCTAATTCGAATTAACAAAATCGATTTTGACGCTACTCCGTTCGTCGAGGTGGAGTACAGAAATCGATTTAAAGCGCCCTTTAATTCGAATTAACTGGCTCTGTAGTGTGGATTAACGCAGCTAAATCCGAATTAAAGTCGTAGTGTAGACCAGGCCTGAGATAGTGTGGACAAGGCCTAAGTGAACACTGGAACTGAGCAAATAGAAAACCTCCTTCATGAATAATCGAGAAGTGAATATAATATCCTATGTCCTTGTAGAATAACAGATATGTTTTTATGAATTCTAATATTCACAGCAGAGTAATTTAAATATATGCAAAATTGCTGCTTAAAATGGGTGGCGGCTAATTCTTTTATGACTGCTGCCATGCTTAGAATTACTTAAATTCATGTATACTTTAATAGAGTTTTTTTAAGTTCAGAAGTTAATATAGAAAAAACTGTATACAAAGGTACCAAATTATTTTTAAAGTGGTTGTGAAATTAATCTTTAAAGCTAAAAACAAAAGTGTATTGCTTTACTCCTTATGTTTTAAATAACTTTTGAATACCTGTATACAGGTAAAAGGATTACAGTTTCCATCACTGCTAGCTCCTTCTCATTTATAAGCACTCAGAAATTTTGAAGAACATGCCCTACATACTCTCCTTCATGTCCATCATGTAATCTGTCAATTGTATTTGTTTGCAATTCTGAATTTCCATCAATATATAGATTATTTATATCCACACTTTTTTGAACTGAAGGCCAAATTCTGCCTTCAGCATCATGTGTTTGTCTCTCTTTGTCTTAAGCCAGAAATTACTCCCTTGTATTTATTGATTTTAAAATTTAAGTTCAATAAAATAGCTGTTCTCCTAAATCCTTTACAAAATGATCACAGATGTTGCATGTCCGGAATATTCTTATCCAGAGTTATGGATCTAGCCTAATATAGTTACCCTGTACTCTGAGGCCTGTCTGTGCAATCTAGATATTATTTTCCCTGAGAATGTAAATTCCCTTGAGACCCCATAGAAGATCTTTCTGTGGGTGCTCCACTCCAGGTGTTGGTGCATCCCTGGACCTTCACTCGGAGATTTTTACAGCAGTACTCGTACTGGTCGTGCACACACGCTCTGAGTGTACCTTAGTAGTACGCGTGCACGACCGGTCTCCTCAGTTCCTTCTCTACCATCCCTGGCCTGAGATGGAGCTCAGCAGACTCGTTAGAGACTTTTCTCTTCCTTCGTTCATATACCTTCCCTGTTAGTTTATTATCAGTAGTAATTAGATAACATTTTCCTGTCTTTACTCTATAAAACTACAAAAAAATATTTTTTTTCTTTGTTCCTGTCAGAGGCAGCTGCTTCCGACATGCCTGGCTCCCCAGGCTTTAAGCACTGCTCTAATTGCAATGATGCCATCCCTCTTTCGGATGGCCATTCAAAATGTATAAAATGTTTGGGGGAGTCCAACATCCCCCCCCAAAAAATGTGCCCACTGCAGCAAACTTAAATCCAGGGCACGTAAGGACAGGAAGCTGAGATTAAAACTGCTTCCACTTCAGAAATCTCTAGGGTCAGCTTCAGACCCGGGGTGCCGACTCAGCTACAGGCCACAGCCCCCCATCTCAAAGAAAGACAAGAAGACTGCAAAAAAAGGCACCCTCTCTCACCCGCAAACAGTTCTTCATGGGACCAGACTTCTCCAGGCAGGTCTACAGCCTCCCTTACGGCACTTCCCCGGTTGAGTTCTTTTGACGCGCTAGGCTCCTCCAGCGCCGCGTGAAACCCGCCTGCAGCTGCGGCGGTAGCACAAAGCTCCGGTGCCGAGGCTTCAGGCTTCCAGTTGCCTGCCTCTCTCATGGCACCGTTCGGCACCACTTCACATGCTTACATGCCTGACCCCCCGCAGGCTATTCTTTCTCTCCCGACACCGGCTGAGCTGACTGGCAGTGAAACAATGCTCAGGACACCGGTGCAGAGGAACTTTTCTTCACAGCAGATTCCTCTTGCACAGCCCACACCTCACAGAGGAGCTCCAGCACCACAATTTATACAGTCAAGGGACCTGCTGGTGTCACCTAGCCTGCAGTCACCCCTACTTAATGCCTACTTCTCTCCAAATGCTTAGCCAGGGTCCGCACAGCCTTCCTCCAGTGATGAGGAAGCAGGTCTGCAGGGGGAGTTTTCACCATATGAAATCTCCGATCCTCAGACCCCAATCAATAGAGGTCATAGAAAAATTACCTCGTCCTACTCTCAGGATCCTGCCTCGTGGTGTGTGAACCCCTGGATGGCACCACCCATGCCCTTTCCACCACAGTGGGCATCTTATCCTCGAGACCACACTCGCTGCACCTCTTCCACTCATACTTGACTACCTATTAGATCTCAAGCAATTGGACCTTTCTTTCAGCTTCATCAAAGTCCACTTAGCTGCTATTACAGCTTTTCATGACAAGATCAACGATACCTCTGCTTTTTCTCATCCAATCACCAAGTGTTTTCTTAAAGAGCTACAATCCCTATACTTGGACATTAAACCTCCTACCCCTCCGTGGGACCTTCACTTAGTATTATCCTGCTTAACTCAACAACCATTCGAGCCC